TGGTAGGTGGATTTTTTTTCAAAATTTTGGACATAGACCAGCTGTTCCCAGTGATGGAGCCAGAACGTGGCTCATGGGTCGGCCTGGAAAAATCCGGATGGGCCTGATTATGAGATGTTTGTGTAAACGTTTTATGATAGAATAAAATCTGTCAGGCCTATGATACGAAGAATATCTATACCGATGAGAGGATGTACAGCAGAGACCGACACGCCACAATTGGACCTCTGTTAAATGTTACTGTTAAGACACAAAGGGGAAAAAGAGGGAGAGGACGAGAGGGATTTATGTAGGCTGCTTGAAGGTTTATTGTTTTGCTGCTATTCAAAGGGAGACATGTTTTTCTCGGTTTATTTAGCAATTAGCACAAAACTTCCCACTTCCTGACAGGTGAAGTGACAGACAGAGAGCTGCTTTGCTCCAGTTTAGCACCTTGGACAGTTCATTCCTCCTGATAGACTCATATACAGTCGTGACTCAATAATCCGACCCTTAACAATCCTAAACCTGCTATCTGACAGGTTTTTAGGAAAAACTAACGGAACCCATAAAAACAGCCTTAACATAGCGACAGCCTTGGATTCTGACTCCGACAAGACATTTAATGTCACCAATCAGGATGACGGCGTATTATCTGACTGAACAATCCCACAGATTGGCTACGTTCACACTGCAGGACTTGATGCTCAATTTGGATGTTTTTGTGAGTTTGTTCACATTTCCACTTAAATGCGACTTGTATGTGATCTACTGTGTGAACTTCATACGACCCAAAAGTGTCCCGCATGGACAGGACACGACGACGTCACACACAGTGAGCATGCTCAGTGTTTACAGAAGTAAACATGGATGGTGGAAACAGAACTGTGACCGCTAACTAAACTAGCATCAGCAGCCAAGTACTGCCTGTGCGGTCCAGCCACTTCCACCCCATCGGAGTGCTCCCCCGGGGTGGATGTGTCCCCGACCGTGCCGAATATTCATTATTAATTGGGCCTGAAATCCAGAGATCATAAAGTGCTATTGGGACCAGCCCTACTAGTTATTATAACAACTATGAACAATAAATATTAACAAGTGAGCCTTCAAGCACCAAGCCCTCCTTGTATCGCCGTCTTGACAATCCGACATAAAAGAAGGTTTTACATTTAGTGTCGGATTATCGAGTCACGACTGTATTTCAAACTACAAACTACCAGTTTTCCCCTTCAGACCATCAACCAGCACGTCTACATTCAGAGAGTCGTGGCTGCTTCACCATGACAACTGCTGAGCGTCCAACAGTTCCTGGCTGAGAAGAACATTGTGGTGCTGGAGCAACCTCCTTACTCACCCCACCTGGCTCTTCCCCAAGCTCAAGGGGGTCATCAAGGGGACATCATGGACAACATCAAGATGCTGTGACGATAGAGCTGCAGAGGATCCCGGAGGAATCCTTCCAGGAGTGCATGGCGGCGTGAAGGCAGAGAAGGCTGAGGAAGTGACTCCAGGGGGAAAACTTGTAGTTTGTAGTCTGGATTTGAAATAAATCTTTTGTGACACCAGTCCTGAAACTTTTCTGACACACCTCGTACGTCTCCATCACCCATTCATTTAGAGCTCCTTCTTAGAATAACCTATAATATAATAATATCTGTATATTAAAGTAGGGAAGACACTGCTTTCTACCCTTAAATATAACATCCGCCGTGTGCCGACAGCAGAGCAAACCCGAGCAGACATTCTCTGGGAAGAGATTGAGACGTGCACTCGACACACCCGAGTCAGAAACAAACACACCGACTGGCAAAGGCGTTATGTGTGTCAGGCCCGTGTTCATGAATATTCACGAGCGCAACCGGGGAGATATTGACTGTTTATAAAGAGGGCGCCTACAGGTCTATTGGGGTTTGCATATTTAATCGGTTTTTCACATTTCCATCTTCTCCCCGCGCGGAAGTCGATGAAGCTGTTCATTTTCTTTTTTTGGGAGATTTTTTTTTTTTTTATTAAGTATTTCCGCTTCTTTTCAGTAACTGAGGGGATTATTTTAGACAGGCAGATACAAATGGAATGTTTTCAACAAACTGTCAGTGCTGCAAATTCGCTCTCTTATTGTATATTTGAGGCAAAGTCGCTCTGACAGCGGTTTGGACCAACATTTGGACGTGTGTTTCGAGAGAGTTGAATATTCGAGCATCACACTTCTTTTTTTTTTTTGTGCTGTGAGGCGAGAATACCGCCGGACTGAGAGAAGAGGGTGGCTTTTGTTCAGCTAAAAAAAAAAACAGAATAAAGAAATGAAATGTTTGCCACATGATGCTATGAGGAGCAGCTGTCTCGGTGGAGGGGGGGGGGGGGGAAAAAAAAGCTGCATTCTCCTCCATGAGAGTGTGGATGTCGGGGACTGCTGTGGAAGCACTATTGAGTGCTTTATAAAGACCTGCCCACCCGGGAGGGGAAAGCATCCCAGTGACCAGAAAACAAAGATGGAAAAAACACTGAAGGACTCGGCTGGCTTACAGAAGATCAAACATGCTGCAGAACATTATCACAAAGTGGAAAAGCCAGAACGCCGCACAGGGTAACGGCACATTTGATCGCCGCTCCGCTCGTCTTTTTAATCCGGCAGCATTCGGTCACGAGTCTTCGCAAAACAGGGTGTCGAGTCAAAGGTCTAATATTTTTCCTCTTTACCGTGGGGGATAAAAGGGATTATAAACACGAAGTATATCTGAAAAGGAACAAATACAACACTCGAGTTTTTTTTTTTTTTTATCGTCCATTGACAGTAGAGAGCCGTCATCTGAAGGTCCGGCTTATTTTTTTTTTCTACTCACCCACTTCAGACATCTCCGGCACCGTCGCTACAAAGGGTCCATCTGGAAATTTGGGCGCATTGTCATTGATGTCTTGCACTTTGATGATGAATTCCGACTTTGGTTCCAGGGCCTCCTCTGTGTTGCGGTCCAGGGCTTGCGCATGCAGGACATAATGTGTTTTCCTTTCCCGGTCCAGGCTCTTAGTGGCGTGAATATCTCCCGTCTCCTCATTGATGATAAATATAGTCCCGGCTCCTTCCCCGCTCAGGATGTACCTGACAGTTCCATCGCCTTTGTCTGAGTTTGAGTGAAGCTGCAGGGAAGAAACCAGACAGAGGGTGTGTGAGTACAGAGAAGGAAAACAGAGAGTTGCCAAAATCAATCTTGTGGCTTGATTTGGTTCAGAATATGAGTCACTGCTGGTGTGGAAGAAGACGAGACGTAGCGGTGCGAGCTGATTAGTCGATTGGTGAGTTCTTGTAGTTTTAGCTGCTAAAATCTGAATTATATCGTCTGTATATTTAGGTTTTCACCTGAAAACATGAGAAAAGTGAAATTAAGGAGATTATGATGGACATTTTTACATTTATATTTAACAACATTGCTAAAAAAATGCTGCATAAATCCAAATCTAGTCCATATAAAAGCATACATCCGTGCTGTACAACAACAAGTTCTGATTTATATCCACTGTTCTCGAAGCGAAGCCATTTCAAACCGTCTGTACTTTATATAGCGGTGACCTTTGCAGCACGACTGCACCGCACGGTGATCCTTAGCCCACATTTCAGCATCAGAAAACTCCACATCTAACTCAGACATTACATTATTCAATATTCCTCTCTCAGGCTCCGCTGTACCCGAGCATCACTGAAGGAGAAAAAAAAAATACATCTTTAGAGATTACAGTTTTGGTGGGGAAATCCTTACAAGACTGTTAAAGATGGAAGAGCACAGCTTTCTTTCTCACCAGGACACAGAGGAATAAGGGGGAAAACTGAGCCACTTGTTCAGCCATAATTGATACCAAGAGGATTAAGACTTTCATGCCAATAGCTCAGCTGGGTTTGAAACTTTCTAAACGTATTTTACAACACCAGTGAGTTTGAAAAGCGGGGCGCCATGGTAACATCATCATTTGAACAAGTTTGATTTCGCCCATGAATAAAACATGCATTTTTTTTTTTCTTCCTGAGGGATACATCACAGCCGAACATAACAGGACGATCAATTTTTATTTTGCATCGCCAACGCTTTACATACTGGTGGTACTGGTGGTAGTTTTGCATCCATGAGCCACGAGCACATCGCCGAATCCCAAAGCACACAAGCAAGAGTTATGCAAGTCTTTGGAGATGGTAAGACACACATAGCAGGATTGGATAAATAATTCATCGTGTGCACGGATAGATAATGTGTTACCCCGTCTTCCGTTATAATATACACATGTTTGGGGGAAAAAAATGTGGATATTTAAAAGAAAAAAAAAGAGAGGGAGAGGAAAAATAACAATGTGATGATTTATCACATCAAAGTTAAACGACTTGAGCTTTGAAGTGATGAATCACGATTACAACAGAAGCTACGACGCCGTTGACTGCCAATTAGCAACGTCTGTCGGATAGAGAGGAGGGCTGACATTTCACATAACCGGCGGAGCTCCAAAGAGGCCGCGTCGGAAGGTGCAGATGCAACAGATGAAATATTAAAGAAAATATCCTGGAGGATCCGTGAGTTGAGAGTCGTCGGATTCTCGTCTGCAGCCGTGTTTGCACAGAAACGGCAGCCTGAGCCTCGGATGCCTCAACATATGTCTCGGCAAACAGTGATTCTGCAATATCTCGGAGATAATTTCCCCTCTGATGCGTCTGATAAAGGGTTCAGCAAATCCGCCGTTTAAAGTAGATATCGAACACAACAGAAACGCGTCGACTTAAGACCCCGCTTGGCCTCGAGATGAATAAAGCTCTCCCGAACTGCACCCAGCTACTTAAAGCCTGGCAAGAGGCGAACAGTGGTGATGTATGTACGCTAACGAAGCCAAAAGCGTGTGCCAGAAAGAGAAGAGAAATACTCCCCGCAGCAGTCAGCGGTGGAAGGAGATGCTTTATGGAACTATTAATGCATAAGTATAAGAAAGGAAGCTGTAGTTAAAGCAAAG